ATTTCTTCTAACACTGCCTCAATTAATGAATTTCTTATTTTTATACTCACATTACCAAACACCTCCTAATTGTGATAGCCTTCCAAGTATCTTCCCTGTTTCTACTTTTGTCTTCCCCAATTTAAATCCAATACTGCTAAAAAGTATTCTTTCTAAACCTCTCCTCAAAGAAATTCTGTCATGCTGTAACCACTGCCTTCAGGGCAAAATCGAAATTATTTGCTTGGGAAGGAACTATCCCAAGCAAGTCCTGTGGTCCTGACTTCCTGTTCAGACTCTCCTGGCTTTCCTCTCCAAGACTTTATGCATCATCCATACTGTGCTCTTGGGAGGGGGACGGGGGAGGAGTCTGTACGTTTCTGTACATTCTACTTTATCTGGGTAGGATTCCCTCCTGCTTATCCTTACTAAGATAACTCAGATGTATCCTTAGCTTAGTCAACACTTTTAAGTTTTCTCTACCTTGACATCCTATTTTCCTTTTCTCTCTTCCTTCTAGATTGATTCAAGTGTACACTCTCTGCAGTGCCATAGCAACCAGTGATATCATGGCCATAGTGACACTATAAAGTCTGACATGGCTGTAATCGCAGCACTTGGGCTGTCCTCAAGTTCGAGGCCAGCTTGTTGTGCTTAAGACACAAAGCAAAACAAAACAAAAAGTTAAGCAAAGCAAAACAAAACAAAAAGTCTACATGCATTCTCTTGCACATTTCTCCAGTCAGACATCCATCTTTTTTAAGAAACCCACTATGTTTTGTTTATTTCTGAGTCCTCTGAAGTCCAGCCCACTGACTAAGAGTAGGGCTCATGCTTAGCCTGGGGTTCAACCCCCCAGCACCAGAAAACAAAAGATTTAGGTGGATGGACAATAATAGAGTAGGTTCTAAAGTTAACATATGATTAAAATAACCCTTGAAAATTCCTTAAGTAGTAATTCATTACACTGGAGGCAAATATATTGTCATCTTTCAATATAATTAACCCCAACCAAGTTTTCTATGATTAGAAAAAAAACATAGTTTCTTTAAATGAATACCTATAGTTGCAATATACTTAATGATAATGTTTTCTGAAACTACTTTTTTTTTTAAGCACTGAAGTTTATATCCCATTAAGCGCTTAAGAATGACAGTAGGAACTCTCATGGAATAAAAGAATAGCAGATTTATGTCTTCCATCTTGAAGTCACTCTTATTACACTTGAGAAGAATGAAAGTCACCATATTACTTAAATCTATCTATCCAATGCCCACGAGAAGCCAGTGCTGAGTGTCATAGCCATGTCTTTCAAGATCCACTTCCATCAATGTGTTCCAGTGCTATGAACAGTGCTAGCAAACACAGGGCTAACCACAGCATGGCCATGGGCTGCTGTGGCAGTCTGTTAGCTGCAGGATCCCCAGTAGCCCCAGAAATGTGAACAAAGTCCAAGGCAAATGATGTTCCCCTGATTTATTTATGCCTCAACTCCAGAGCATGAACTGAAAAATACTATCGCTAATTCAAGACCAACAAGACACTAAGTGTGAATTATGGTTATGCTAGTCACTTTAATGAGCCCTCTAAAAGTTTATGCAAGGCAAAGACTGTATATGAATAGATTTGAGGATGCTGACATTTGAGTAAATAATATCAGTTTATTACACTTTACTATTCAATAGCCAGCATGGATAATCCCCAGTAGGCAGGTCACAGTCCGTATGTGTAAATGCTGGTGTCAACTGTTTATTAGGCCATTACTGGGAGTAATGGCCATTACTCTACTTTGAAAATGTAATTATTATATTAATTACTTTATAGCAATTAACTTTTTTGCATTTCTAGGAAACATCCCCAAGCAGAAGAAGAGGCAAAGTGAATCTAAAACAAAGCCAAAGTTAGTGTGACTATAAGGATATACTGAAAAATAAGATTTCCTACCAGCAGACCAAGAATTGAAATAATCTTATGTTCTAAGAAATAAATATCTATTTTAAAGTACATTAAATATAATTATACTCTTTTTGCTGCTGGAGATTGATCCCCACTGAGCTATACACACCAATCTATAAGGTGTATTTATTAAACTAAAAGAACAAAAAAATTGGGAGATTACATATATAAAATTCTACTTTTACTAAAATTGTAAAATACAGAGAAAATACATAATTTTTCTCTCCCTCTGAATATATATATATATATATATGTATGTATATATATGGCAACATTTTAATTATTACCCCATGTACTTTGGAATTATATGCCATATACAGAATGACTTTGTCTGTGTCAAAATATTAAATAATTTAGTTCCCATCTTACAGCCCAACCCTAAACCAGAAATTCTGGAGAAAAATGAAAAAGGGAAAAGACATGCCAAACAAAAGAAATAAGGTAGGCATTTTAATGCTAAAAAAACCATCTGGCTAGTCTGAAAAATCTGCTTTTATGTGAAATTTTTTTCAATAATCAGCAATTCATTAATTTCATAAGGACCCCAGGTTTATAGTAAAAGTGCAAATGCCAGCCAGTTCCCCCAGGAAGCTCTCCTCCAGCATGCAGGAGGCTCCTCTCCTGTGACTCCTATGGCCCTTCAACAGTACATGTGACACAAGTGACAGACTTGACACTGTAAGCTCTGAGGGTGAGATGTATGTTATTTACCAGAGTGCTTGTACAAAAATTCAGTCAACATGTACTTTATAAGTTTATACTTAGATACGCTTCCTCCTTCATGTTTTCAGTTTTTCTAAAAGAAATGAAAGACAATCTTTCTATTTTCACTTCCTACTTGTCCTTGTTCCTACTCTACCTCTTTTGCTGACTTCTCTATTGCTGGGGTTATCTGCTCATCGTTCAAGTAACCCAGCAAATATCTGTTAAGTAGCTACGCTGTGCCAGGCAGTGTGAACAAGCCCTGAAAGAGCTAAGAGACAGGCAAGTGAGCAGGTGACTGCAAACAACGTGATGAGCACTGCAATACATGCAAAGGCATGACACTGTATAAAAAAGAAAGCAAGCCACAAATTTTGCTCCAAGTTCTTGCATACAGTTTGTCACTTTCTTTATGTTATTTTTCTCCTCTGGTCATCAGTCTACCCATCTGACTATTTTTAATTATTAAATAGGTAATATCTGCATGTGGTGCAAAATACAAATGTTTCCTAAGAATAAATAATTGAAAAATACGTCTTTCTCCCATCCTGTGCCCAGTTACTCAGTTTGTCTATCTATCCAGTGCACACTTACAGAGAGATACTCAGTGCACACACATAGGTACATATGCACATGATCTGATAGTCTTTTAGCACAATTACAGAGAGATACTCAGTGCACACACACAGGTACATATGCACATGATCTGATAGTCTTTTAGCACAATTACAGAGAGATACTCAGTGCACACACACAGGTACATATGCACATGATCTGATAGTCTTTTAGCACAATGGCAGCATGCTACATATTCTGCCATCTTGCTTTTCTCACTTCTGTAGTAGCCCACATTGGCTACCTGGTTCTTTTTAATGGATACAGATTCACTGGAATCTTCTTGATGCAGTGAATGTATTTATCTATATATAATTCTGTGGTATAGCTCTGTCTATAAATAAATTCCTAGAAGGAAAATGGCTGAGTCTGAGAATCAATGGATTTTTAATAACCTGAATACCTCCCAAACCTGCATTCCCTTACTCTCTGGTATCTCCACATACATATTTCTTCACAACTTTAGGAAAAAATCTTCTCATAACCAAGTGTGTTACCCTCAAAATGTTCTTCATAACTTCAATGATTTTCCCTGACCTCAGTCAAAAATCATGTTTGACTCTTACTGCTTTATTTCTACCCACATCTAATTAACTAGTTAGGGTGAGTCAACCCTTTAGTTCTCTGACATTCATCTTCTTCACATTTTCTCAGACATCTGTCTGCAGGTGCCCAGTTCTGTACACCTGGGCACTTATTATTATTCTACTACTTATGCTATTGTTGCCCTATGCTCACCCACCAGAGACTGCACACACCATTCTCTCCAAAGCAGAGAGAATGAAACCTCAAAAAAGCCTACCTTAAATGCTAAATCGTTCATAAACGATTTATAAATTTATTAGCACTTAGGTCTGAGACACTGTAACTTAAACTGTATTCATGATAGATACAGACTCCCTCATGGTAAGGATAATGACTTTATCCTTATCTATCCTTTAGATAGATTCACACTGCCTAGGCACTAAAAATTTGTTCCCCAAATGAATGAAGGACGCTTTCAAATGAAGTTATTCTTATGTATCAGAGAATTCTACAGGAAAAATATTCTAAATTCTAAGAATATTTTTCAAGTCCATGAGATACAAGCCTCTATGTAATAATTAAATTTAACTCCAGAAATCCCACCATGTAAATATAAAGTATTTCCAGTTAACTATTTGTATGAATTACATTTTGCCTTCACATGAATTTTGTTCAAAAACAGACAGGAGAAAGAATAAGAAATAAATGAAATACGCTACTAAAGTAATGAAATTTCTCTTAAAAACTGTAAGATCCCTTAAATCTTTTACGGATATTACGGCCACTCTGTTACATAGAAGCCAGAGCTCAGCTACAATATACCTATGGAATATTGTTCAACAGAGTTTAAAATAAGTAAAATGATTACTTAGAAGTTTCACAGAAAGCCTACTTGAGGGAAAACTTTGTAAAACATTATAAATTCTTTATTTCCTGTTTTCAAAGCTTAATAATATAATTTTGAAAATCATATTGTGGTAAGACTTTTAACTTTAAGAATATAGGAAAAATATGATTATGCTTCCCAGTAATAAAATTATTTGTGTAAAAACAAATATCATAACACTTCATTAGAAATTACTAAGCTCTGATCTACTCAACAGTAGAAAAGAGCTATACAAATCCCTATCAACTAGAGAACTGCTGTAACTTGTATTTTATGTAATATTTTTAAAATAATGATAATACTATCATGCAAATGCTAGATTTACTTCTTGACTCACCTCTCCCCCATTAACATATTCCATCACAAAACACAAACGGTCTTTTGTCTGGAAGGAATATTTCAAGGACTTGAAATGAAAAAGAAAAAATATTATATTATAATCCCATATTCTTATCATTAAATGGTACCAAAAATAGAACACTTAAAAATACTAAGCATTAATTGATGAAACAAGCACTCTTGTTCCTTAAGAGTCTATTTCTTAAGAGTGCTAAAGGAAGAGTTTATAGGAAACACAAACAAATTTCATTCAGTTCAGCATTAAGGGGAAAATTAAAATTCTAACTGACAGTAATCTTAGCAACTGCAATAAACACTTGTCAATCAGTTGTGTCATTTATTTGTCCTCAAAGTTCTCATCCATGCAACCTCAAAGAATGACTCTACAAATGACTCTAGTGGAAGCTCCTCAGGAATACAGTTACCACTGTCAGATTCAAGTCTCTAATACAGTTTCAATGTCACTTTGTGCATATTTAGAATAAAATACAGCCCAACCCAACAATGTTGCTTGTGTAATTCTACATGTTGTAAAAAGATATGAAAATGCTATCTCATTACATTGGACAATAAACTTGTTACCACATAATGAAGTAAGCATAGGTATCTAGTGATATTTTTGAAAATGTCTATTTTAGATAATCCTAAATCTTAAAAGAATCCACTTTTGAAAGTCTAGCTGTTATTTTTAACCTTAATATATGTAACTGAAATAAGGAGAATAAAGAAAGTCCTTAAACTATCCTTCTATTACAAGGAACCTAAGAAAAACACTAAATAATTAGTTTGTTTCAAAGCAATCAAGTTATATGCATTGTCACAGTCATAAAAATACATCAGGACTTATCCTATGTTTAGCATATTCAGAATTCCTGTATTTCTTAAGTACTGTATCTCAAAACAAGTGTCATTTCTATGAAATATATTTATTTAAGATTTCTGCTTTTCATCTTTGAAGACAGTGCTGCCTAATCATTTAAATATTTATCTAAACCAATAAACAAAAGAAGCATAAAAATCTACATTTAATATTTAAAAAAATTTCTAAGTCTACTATTCTATCAGTAAACTTCTTAAAATGCCACAGGTGATCTATTTGGTCTGTGGTTATTTTTTATTTTTTAATGATAAGGAAATTCATGAGTAGAAAATGGGAGGGATTCTAAATACATACATACTGTAAACTTAATCCATGCATTCCAGTAATGTCAAAGAAATCTGACTTACGTTCTTTCCATAAAGAAAATGGCATACCTGAACAAATGTTAGTTAAAATGTTATTTTTAATAGTTCAGTTTCTATACCCAAATTCCCTTTATTACAACATGTGCCCTCTAGTCACTTACTGTTAAAAATGGATGCCTGGTATTCTTTAGTACTCTGCTTTCAGTTAGAGTGTGTGCCACTTCATCCTAAAAAGAAAAGGGCAAACCATTAATATAGGTGTATGCACTAATAACATAAAAACTTCACCATTTCTCAAGAAGTTATGCCCAGAAATAGAGGATGTTAAAACACACTGGAATGTTTCCTTTAGTCCTTAGCTTCCCCTCCACTGTCCCTTGAATTAAATCAATTAATTAATTAAATCAATAATTTAATTCACATGGTTGACTAACTTACGCTTGATCAAAGTATATCAATAATGATATAAACATCAACAACAAAATTACGAAAGACAGAGAAAATTATTAATAGTACACTTTTCCACTCACACGAAATGGGTTATCAGCTAATATTTTAGCATGGGGTAGCTAATACTTCCATGTGGGTAATGAATTTTATTCAGGGAGACACAAAGGACATACAGCATTCAGTAACAACCAAGTCCCCTAGTTAAAAGACAAATCAACTACTGGGAACAAGACCACATAATGCATACGTTATTTTTAATTTTAGATAAATTTTAGGAACCGAAAGTAACAGAATATAAAATTTTTTGCTTGTAACTTTTTAATATGCCTTAATTTTTTTTTTTTTTTTGCAGTACTGGGGCTTGAACTCAGGGCCTTCACCTTGAGCCACTCCACCAGCCCTTTTTTGTGAAGGGTTTTTTCATGATAGGGTCTTGTGAACTATTTGTCCAGGCTGGCTTTGAACCGTAATCCTCCTGATCTCTGTCTCCTGAGTAGCTAGGAATACAGGCACAAGCCACTGGTACCTGGGTATAATAAGTTTTTTTTTTTTTTTTTTTTAAAGTCCCAACCCTTCTACTCTAGGTGACAATTTTTAAATGAAGGTATATTTCAAACCAAAATTACATTAAAGAATGTACTTTCCCAATTTTGTTCATGAATCCCAGCTGACATCAAAAGTGAACTAGAAGAGATTTTCTTCAACTATATAGAGAACTGGGAAATGTTTCATATTTCAAAAGTAACACTATCTCATATAAGAAAGAAAAGGAAGATAACTGCAAAAAACTAACACAGCATTTCTGATCTTCTGGCAAGGTCCTAACCAAAGTCTTTGCTGTATTTATTAACACTGTCAGCAAATCAAAATTATATTATAAAGACACAAAGTTTTGTAAAACATCAGGACACTGAATTATATTTACTATTTTTACAAAAGCTTCTGACCTAGAAGATAAATGAAAAACACATTGATCAAAGAAGCTAATATTCTAAAGCCATTCCAGGAGGGGAAGACAATGAGCCTGAACAGAAGGTGAAGTATATTTAACAGTGTTCTATTAAACCAGTGAAGCTAAACACAAGCATGAAACTGCTGTAGTCTTACTTATTTTACAGGACCCAGGCAGAAGTGCTCAAATGTGAAAGTCATTGTCATATCGTACTATAATTCCTAAATTAAATATAGTAAAGTTAATCCTCAATAAATCAGACATGACCCCATAACCTACAGATTTCTGTACCTACAGTGTCTAGCATTAACGGTTAGCATACAGCAGATATGTAACGTCCGTTGAAGTGAACTGCTTAGCATAGGAATAAACTCAAAGATACCAATTATGTGTAAGCTCACTCACTGACTCACTCATTACCTCAGCAATCATGCCAAAAACATGTTTTAGGTATCGTTCTAAACACTGGAAGCAGGGCATCGAATAAAACAGACATAAGTCTCTCTTCTCACTGAGCTTTCAATCCTTGTTAGCCAGATGTTGATGGGTGATAATGAAGAAAAGCAAACCAGAGAAGGGGATACTCTAGCTCTGAGCATCACACAGTGAACATGAAATACATCATTAAGCATTACGCAAGTGACTGTTTTGTGATATTCAGGAAAAAAACCATTCATTAAAACAATCTTTGATGTGCACTTACTAAACATTAAGACAGCGCAGGCATAAAGTGGCTTAATAAAAAGAAAAAGGTCCCTTTATTCATAGACTTCACAGCCTAGTGAAGACAAGTAAATGACCCACTTAATAAATACATAATTCTGATGAATGGCATTAAAGAAATGTGGGAGTTATACACTATTACAAATGGGGCAGAGAAGGAAAACAAATGGCACAAGAAGGGAAAAGTTTAAGTCACACAATGAGATGGTGTAGGATGAGGAGAGAATGATGATCTACGTTTTTAAAAGCTTACTAATGCTTCTTTGATGAGAACAGCAAAAATAAGAGTGATTAATTGAGAGAGTATTAACAGTACGCCAAGAAAGAAATGAGATGGCTTAGATTACTATGGTAGGAGTAGTAACAGGAAAAATGGAGTTTTGAGATAATTTTTGAGATTTAAAATTAATAGTAATATCATAAAAATTACAGGCTTCCAACATGAGGACAAATCAAAAGAAATACAGGTAGATAGATCCTTGGTATCTGCAGGTCTATGATTCCAAGGAGACCACTACTGAGGAAAACCCAAACATGCTCAGGACAGAGTTCAGTGCTGTACAGTGGATGCTTGATTCAATTTTCCCATAAAGCTGCCCAGCTTCCACTGAAAATACACTCCTTTTCAACAAATCTCACTTTTTATCACTTCAAGAAAGCACATTCAGTTTTCCCTTGCTTTTGGGACACTATTTGTTTTTTGTGAGGCAGAATTTCACAAAATTAAGAACAGGGAAACACTCAGCAGATCACACAATGATTTCAACACAACTAACAATAATGAGCAATTGAGAGCTTCTCCATGTCCACTGAGCTGCACAATGTACACTGGAATTTAAACTTCTGTCTTTGAGATTTCTTTAGTTTTTTTTTTTTTGAGCATGTGGAATTTAAACTTCTGTCTTTGAGATTTCTTTAGTTCTTTTTTTGAGCATGCTTGGTCAAAACTGAATGTACTAAGACTGCGAATCAGGTAGGCTCACTATGTGTAAGTATGGGAAAGCCAACACAAGGCAGCATGTGATTATTATGGTTCAGGATACTAAGTAACTTCAGTCAATAAACTAGAGAAAGATACAACCCACTTAGAATCAGACAAGATATTCTGGGACTTTAGAAAATATTTTCATGGGTATTGCAATGCATATAAATTTTTTCTAAGTCAGTATATTGGAGCCAACATGGCTATTGAACTGGGATTTACTGTGTGTCCAGAATTTACATTAAATTCCCTACTCTGGGGCTACAAGCAGCTTTCCGCAAGCTCAAAAGTGTCACAGACCTTCAGCCAGGCTCTACAAGGTTTCCTGTGAGTGTGACCACATTCTATAGGGGGTTGAGGGGAAACTCTGTACCAGCTTGTTTCTCTGTAACTGGCTTGTCTTTCTGACCACCTGTGAACCATCTACTGCAAACCCCCTGGTTACATCACCCACCGGGGGGTGTATAACTCATCTCCTGACACTGATGGGGCTCAGGGCTTTGAGAGCTTAGCTCCCCTGAGTCTGCTAGCATCATAAAATTCCTGCTTCCTGCAAAGTGGGCTCGGTGACTTTGTTTCCTTTGCCGTTTCCTGCAACAAGTAAGTTTCAAGACAAACTACTAAATTCTGCAATTTATCTAACTACATGGAAGGAGCCAAGTAAAAGTGTACAAAGACAAAACTAAGACATTATTTCTTTGTTACGAGAGCAGAATTGGAATTAATGCAACATATCTATCTTTCATACATTTCCTACCATTATTTTATATCTGATCAGATTAGAACTTGCCCATTACCAATTACTTTCTGCTTTGAAGATAAGGTATGTACAAGCTAAAAAGTAAACACAGATGCCAAAAATTCTTAATTATGGTTAAAATCATCATGTCAAAACAAGAAGTTAAAAATAACAGTGATTAAAACTTTGTGGCTAAAACAATGTGATACTTTTTTAAAAAATTCATTTGCTGGTATTACAGATGAACTGCTTTAGAACTAGATTATAATGTAATAATAGTAATATGGATTAGAACATAAGCATAACAGTACTTTCATGAAAACGCTTTTGAAATACAGGCTTTACTAAATAATGAGTTTTCATAGAAAACAGTTTTAGGGGAATGGATTTTATTTCTTGAGAACATGAGGTAGAAAATAGTCTTCCTAAGAATTAACCTAGAAGGTAACACACACGCACAGGAAATCAATGTGAGTCAATGCCCTGTATAGCTATCCTTACCTCAACCAGCAAAACCCCTTGTTCCTTCCTATTATTGCTTATACTCTCTCTACAACAAAATTAGAACTAAGGGTAAAATAGTTTCTGCCGGGTATTGAGGGGGTGGGGGGGAGAGGGAGGGGGCGGAGTGGGTGGGAAGGGAGGGGGTGGAGGCAGGGGGGAGAAATGACCCAAGCCTTGTACGCACATATGAATAAAAAAAAAAAACCAATCACAGAGTGATAGCACAAATCTGTAATCTCAGGTACATGGGAGGCAGAGGTAGGACTGCAGTCCAAGGCCAAGTGAGATCCTATCTAAAAACAAAGTAAAGCAAAAAGTTTGTGGCTCAAATGGTAAAGTGCTTGCAGAGTGAGCATGAAGCCCTGAGTTCAGATCTCAGTACCACCACCAAACAACAACAAAACCCATAATCTTGGGATGTCAAGGGATCTGGAATGTACAATTAGGCTTCCTTTGGAGATTTGGGCTTTAAGGACTGAACACAGGGTTGGAAGAGAAAGAAAATGAAGCTGGTAGAGTGGCTCAAGTTGTAAGAGTGCCTGCGTAAAAGAGAGAGAAAATGAGAATCTTTGATTTGGGGTAAAGTGGTAAGACTGCCTTTACTGCCACAGTACTTTTCATCAGCCCCTGAGGAAAGGAGAAAAGCCCCTGATGATTTTCACTGAAAATGGGTCTAAAATAATGCACTTCAACTTAATGGAACCTTGTCCCTCACCCCTACAGGTTTTCAAGTTAGTGGGGAGATAGAATATGGGATTTTTTGTTGACTTGTTTATTCGTTCATTCATTTATTTCCTTTTATTGCAGTCCTGGTGTTGAATTCAGGGCCCCATGCTTACTAGGCAAGTGCTCTACTGCTTGAGCCATGCTCCCAGCC